ATTTATATATATACTGGTGTATACGTACGTGAAGCCAGAGCCTGCCGTACAACATGGAGGATACACTCTGATGTATGCATGATGTAAGGGCCTGCAGCATCTTCTCCATCTGTGCTGCCTTCCTGTCCTTCATAACACCAGCCACATGGCTTTCCATCCTGGGCCCGGTTCTGGTTTTGGTGGAGGTTTTATCCTGTTCAAGGGAGTTGTTCCCTACCACTGTTTCCATGGAGCAATGTTAACATTTAATATACATACAACTTTGACTAATAGATATTTTAGAGTGTGTCAAGGTTTGTGTCCAGTGGTTTGTGTGAACCAGTGCTTCACAACTCACTGGTTTTATGTCTAAAGGGAGACAACAGAAAGTTAGAGCCGAGGGTGTCATGTGAGAATCTGTCCAATCAGAAGCGGGGTGCCTCCGAAGCCCCGCCCCCTCGGTGCTTCATGCCTATAAAAGGGCGGAGCTGTTTGACAGTTGATGAGCACATCTGTGCAGCAGCACATCTGTAGAGCAGCTTCTTGTCAATGAGTTCATCCTAACTCCTCAACTCCTGTCTTCCGTCTCAAAGCAAGCAGGATCATTAACTTTGATATCTTATTGATTTTATAGCTCAGTCGAAATGAGCCAAGAGGAGCCGAGCATGACAGAAGGTGAGAGCATGAAGGAGGTCCCCGCTGAGGAGAGGAGCAGCGCGGAGGAGAAGCAGGAGAACGGGGGGTGTAAGGAGGACCTGGCACCTCCAGCGGCCCAGGAGGTCCAGTTCGTGCACCCTGAAGGCGGCTGGGGCTGGGTGGTCATGCTGGCCTCCATGTGGTGCAACGGCTCCGTGTTCGGGATCCAGAACTCCTTCGGCCTCATGTTCCTGTCCCTGCTCCGGGAGTTCGGCTCCGAGCACGACCCGGACCTGCGCTTCAGGACGTGTGAGTACCGGGCCGGTTCTCCGAGGGGACCTTCAGGTGGGCTCACCTCAGGGGGCCTTTAGTGTGTGGCAGGGAGTCGAACCAGCAGCTGCAGCCTGGTCTGTGCACTTCGTCACGTCACGTCACGTCACGTCACGTAATGTGATCCGTGGTTTCCTGGAGAGACACGTGTGGCTGAAAGAAAAAGACTTGTGCATGTTGTCATGAGCACGCACAAAGAAACTTCTGCTTTCCACACTTTCAACTGGTCTTTAACACCAGTGGCAGAACTTACTGGTTTATAGTGGTTTATGTCTGTTGAACTGGTCTCATGCAGGAGAATAATTAAAACTGTGTTCTGCTTAAACTGGACGAATGGGGAGTCAGACACAAGGAAAGGGTCACATGGGGGGGGGCATGTGTGAGAGACAAATGATGGACTTGTCCATTGAATACTGGACCGATGACCCACTGGTGTGTTTGGCTGTGATTGCACCCACCTGTTGGTGGGGTGCTGGCACGTGTTCATAAGAGTAGAAGGAGAAGGGAAAGAGCCCAGACCAGCTGCTGATCAGGGCTCAGCTGCTGATCAGGGCTCAGCTGCTGATCAGGGCTCAGCTGCTGATCTGGGCTCAGCTGCTGATCAGGGCTCAGCTGCTGATCTGGACTCAGCTGCTGATCAGGGCTCAGCTGCTGATCTGGACTCAGCTGCTGATCTGGGCTCAGCTGCTGATCAGGGCTCAGCTGCTGATCAGGGCTCAGCTGCTGATCTGGGCTCAGCTGCTGATCTGGGCTCAGCTGCTGATCTGGACTCAGCTGTTGATCAGGGCTCAGCTGCTGATCTGGACTCAGCTGCTGATCTGGGCTCAGCTGCTGATCTGGGCTCAGCTGCTGATCTGGGCTCAGCTGCTGATCTGGGCTCAGCTGCTGATCAGGGCTCAGCTGCTGATCTGGACTCAGCTGCTGATCAGGGCTCAGCTGCTGATCAGGACTCAGCTGCTGATCTGGACTCAGCTGCTGATCTGGGCTCAGCTGCTGATCTGGGCTCAGCTGCTGATCTGGGCTCAGATCAGGTATCTTGTCATTTGAAAGGCTGCTGCAGTTGATCCGTCAGCCTGTGTTGTTGTCACAGTGAAGCGTTGCAGGAACTCTTTGAGTCATGACTGTTGACGTGTCAGCGGTCATGTGCGGGGGGGGCAACGACACCTGCGCTCAAAGTTCACTCTTGTGGTCTCTTCTGAGGAGACGTGTGAATACAAGGCTGTCCCGTAGCTTTTCAAGTCAGCTGAACTTCTTCAGCTGCTTCAACATGGTAACCTTATGAACAAGACCTCCCGGCACTTTTCTGACAGCGTTTGAGGCTCATTAAAACCATGAAGCTTTAATTGTTCTGATCCAATGATAAAAACTAACAATATGCACAAAACTTTGCAATATGACAGGATGTGATCTCAGAGGATGTTGAGGATGACACTCAGCTGCTACCACAGGAAATGTTAGCTCAGTATTTATGTATTTTAAGCAGCTGTTGTGTTGTACTTGGCTGTGGTGGCCATTTTAAATTGAACTGACCAGAAGTTGTGCATGAACACTGTTCCACAGGGACATGTGAACTTAAAAATGAATTTGCTCCACAAAGTAATTCCTCCTAATAAATAAATAATGTAAATTACTCATTTACTGAGCTTGCTGTGAATTGTTTTGCTTTTCAACCATTTTGTCAATTTTAAATGTAATTTGAAATGATTTCTAGTGATTCAGTCTCATTTGTTGGTACTTGTTTACTGTCATGAGCAGTACCGTTCACCGACCTGCGTTCATCGAACCATGTGATCCCAGCAGCAGTCTCATTTAGGGCACGTTATATCCTGCGCTGTGGACGCGTTCGGCTGCTTTAATACCATACGGCTGATACGACCTCTAACACTAGACCTGATGTGAGCTCAGAGCTGCAGTGAAACCTGCTGAGTCCAACAGTGGAGATATTCTGCTTAAATCCATTTGGAGTGGAGCGAGGGAAGCAGAAAGCTAAGACGAGAGGAGCGACAAAACCCAGGAGATGTTCACTACAGTGACAGGACGTTATGGAAGCAGTTCTGTGGTGAATGTGTGTGGGTCATTGGTTAAATCAGTGGTCCTGTAATCAGAAATCTGTTACTTTGATCCCTGCGTGGAACATTTATTTGAATTTGTGATATATTCTAACATCTTCTTTTAAACTTTGATATAATTTTAGAGTTACTTTTCTTTTTTTCTCCCATTTTAACAATGTTAGAGTGTTATTTCAGAATTATTACTTCATATCAAATTATCAATCCAGTCCAGAATGCTGCATACCTGCCCGTTTTATTTTACACAGGTACAATAAAAAATGTTTCCAGTTCGGATGGATATGGGTGAGGCTGCAGGAGGCACTCGTTGCTCTGATTTATTAGACAGGATTTTTTTCACGAGACACAACCTCGACCTGTGGGAGGAAGAATCAAGACAACAAGTTTGTGCAGAAAAAAATAGCAAAACAACTACAAAAATGTAATATTAAGCAACATTTATCTTTTTTCCCACAGAAATGTAATGCAATTTGTACAATTTGTGTGGTTAGTGGAGCAGGAAATGAATGTTTGCGCAGGAGTGGTCACTGGATGAACATTCAATGATTACTTTTGGAAAGTTGAATAAAAACATGTCCAGAGGTTTATGATATCTTGCTAACGGAACTTCCATAAAGTTTAGAAGATCTGAGTTTCATGACGACAGCGATCTGCTTTCAAAGTGCTTACGCAGCCTAGCTGGTCAAAGTGGACTTGTTCCAAAGTTAATCATTTCCATTCTAAATATTTCCACTCTTGTTAATATGAACCCACTTCATGCAAACACTTAACACATCACAAACATTTCAACCTTTTCATCACTATCAGTTTAGCATTACATAAATATTCCAGTAGAAATATTATAAAATTCCTGCTGGAATGGACCCCACGTTACACTGAAAGGCTACAGCTAGCTGCTACTGCTATTTGCTAAGCTCATCATTACAGTTGGCTGCATTTTGATGAGTTGTATGTTTGTTAGCTGTTAGCTCGACGGTGCTCAACTCTCCTGTTTATTAAACTTTCTACAAAATATATTTGACCTCAAAACCAACTCAAAATGGCCTAAATATCCCTTTAACTTTGCAGCTCTACGTGTCTCACTGATATCAAGACTCAGGCTAATAACCAATAATACGTGTAACGGATCAATCGGTCCTCGGCACAGTGGTGCAGTTGGTAGATTTGCCGCCTCTCAGCGAGAAGGTCGCCAGTATTCATATCTTTGCTGGGGGCCAGTCTGGGTGGAGTTTACATGTTCTCTCCGTGCATACATGGGTTTTCTCCGGGTACTCCGGTTTCCTCCCACAGACCAAAAACATGAATTATTATTCATTTATTAACATTTATTAACCTTTATTTAGCCAGGCAAATCCCAGTGAGATCGCAGATCTCTTGTGTAAGGGAGGCCTGGACCTGAAGGCAGCTAACATTGTGTTTTTGGTCTGTGGGAGGAAATCAGAGTACCCGGAGAAAACCCACACAAGCACGAGAAGAACATGCAAACTCCACACAGAAGGAGCCCAGGTCCAACCGGGGATTGAACCCAGGACCTTCTTGCTGTGAGGCAACAGTGCTAACCACTGAGCCGTTGTGCTGCCATGCATGCTAGTCTGATTGGTAACTCTCAATTGTCTCTAGGTGTGAGAGAGACAGTGAATGGTTGTCTCATTTGTCTCTGTGTCCCTGTGATGGACTGGAGACCTGTCCAGGTGTCCCCCGCCTCTCACACAGTGAATGATGGACAAGGGCACTAGTGAGCCCCGCAACCCAAAAAGGAAAAAGCGGGTAAAAGATAATGGATGGATGTTTGGATGGATGGATGGATGGATGGTTGTATGTATGGATGGATGGTTGGATAGATGGATGGATGATTGGATGGATGGTTGGATGGATGGTTGGATGGATGAATGGTTGGATGGATGGTTGGATGGATGGATGGTTGGATAGAAGGTTGGATGGATGGATGGATGGA